TAAATCTGAGAGCAACAGTAACATCGAGTCTCTGCGCAACGACGTGACAGCAGTTCAAGCACAAACAGAACTACAGTCGCATGACATGTGTGAGAGGATGTCCACGTTCGAGACCAGAGTGACAGATTTGAGGGTCATGACGGGACAGCAGCAGATTAAAGTAAGTTCGGAAATTGAGAAGGCTAATTATAGAGTAACCAACGGGTGTGACGAATTAAGGGGCCAGCTTGAACTCTTAAAGAACTCGAATCAGGAGTGTAGTAAAGGTAAAGTTGCTAACACTAGTGACGTAATGCTTGACAGCTGTCGAACAGACACCTCGAGTGGACATGCTTCGGCGACTGCTTGTATAAATACCAGTAATGTTAACGGCCACTCAGACGGTGGGCCGCAAGTTAGGTATGTAACTGGAGTAGGTCTAGGAGTAGGCCAGCCAAGTTACTCCCTCAGTAAGGAAATGACAGGCAACGATAACAACTGGGGATTTGTCAAAGGGACTCTGAACAACTCCCTCGATCTAGCTTTGCCAATTTTCGCAGGACGACCGGAGCAGAATGCCAAAGCCCATTTAAATGCCTTGATAGAATTTATACAAATTAAGAATGTCCCTTCACCGCTTCACTTACCAGTGGCGAGACGCTCTATGAACGGCATTTCAGTCACCACATGGGCTGACGCTATATGGGACCAACTGGAAACGTTCGATGACTTTCAGGATGCCTTCCTAGGCAAATTCTGGAGCCCACAGTGTCAAGCCAAGGTTAGATTAGAAATATACCAAGACCGGTATGATCCGCGAGGAGGGTTGAGTTACGGCGATCACTTGCTGAAATACGCTGTCAAGGCCAAGTACTTAGAACCTTCGATGTCCAATTTCGAATTTCTAAACGCTTTAAAAGGGCATTACCCTATCAGCGTAAGGAAAGCGAGGATCGTTGCCAAACCACGGAATCTGCAGGACGCGGCGGCATTTCTAACCGACGTGATGAGTCTCGAAGAGAACCCGGAGACGCTAGAGCCGAGACGACCCGTATACCAAGGACAACGCGATAATTACAATAGGCAGCGTTCGGACCCACGAGATGACCGCCGAGGGAGCTGGAATAGGAACCAAAGGCACGCGGGGAGTTATGAAAGCGGACCTG